CCACGTTACAGAGATATGCTGGAGGAAAACAAACCAGGCTCTATCCTTAGGATTGTTTTGTACTTTCATACCTTGCTGAGCACAATACATTTATTAGTTATTACTGTGTAGCATTAGCCAGTTTGGTTTCTATTGGTAAAATATGGGTTTAATGATTATCGTCATTTGAACGCAAAAAAGATATATTCTTTGTGTCTATCTTTCGGGAGTTGTAGGGCTTCTTTTTAAGGATTACTGTCTGTCTATCAGCATTTGTTCTTCACCTTTAGTGGTTTTTACTGGTTCATAGGGGACATATCCCAGGAGTGAAGAAGGTGGGACAGGAAAGGTATAATTTGAAAAAGGAACATTTAGTGTAATTCAATGTCATTAGATAATTTAATATTCTGAAAGAATGTATAACACCCATATGACATACTAGAGATGTAAAAGCTCTGTAAAATTTTGGATCTGCAAAAATGTGGGATGTCTGGGTAAAAAAATAATATGGGAATGTAGTATGAGTTTCAATCTAGGCAAGAAACCAAATAGCTTGGGTTCTGTTTGTTCTGCTACAGGGGAACCTCAGTAACATGAGCTGAAATTGGGCAAACTAACGTCTTAAATATTAACACAACATTCATTCATACAACAAATATTTACTGAGCTCCTACTATGAAGCCTCTTCTAGATCCTGGAAATGCAGTACTAACATTAAAAAGTCTCTGCTTCCATGGCATTGCATTCCAACTGGGGGAGACAGACAATGACAAGATGATGAGAAGGGAATAAATAAAGAAGGTGGTTTCAGAGAGCAATGAGGACTAAACAGCAGCTAACATTTATGCACATGGCAAGGTGTGGGGCATGGTACTGGGTGTATTAGCCCTGCCAAAATCCTAGAAGAAAGTAGCCCATTGTTTTCATTTTACAGATGAAGAAACTGAGGCAGAAGAGGTCAATTGCATATCTCAAGGTCACAGGTTGAAGAGACAGAACTAGGTTTTGAACTCGGGGCTTCTGGCTCAAAACCCCATGTACTCAACCATTAGGCTACACTATTACACAGACAGTGAAGCAAGGTAATGTGAGGGCATGGCTGGTGGGGGCCCCACATTAGTTAGGGGGGTCACAGAAGGTCTCCCTGAGCAGGTGACATGTCACCTGTGAGTGGTGAATGAGAAGGGAACATGATGAAAACATAAGGAAGAAGAGTTTCTGGAGTTCCTTGGGTTTAGGATGGAAGACACCTTGCTGTAGGAAGGGGCCTTTGAGAAACAAAATATTAAAAAGTACAATCGTGGATGTCTAGGACTGGAAAGGATTTAGGAGCTGTTCCCATTTCCATGCAATCATATATGTTAAAGTGATCACACTCCAGTGACATAACTCTGTCAGTACATCTTTCTCAAGGTATCATAAAAGTTTCCCTCCAATGCTTAACCCCTCCCCAGAATTACTAACAAGAGGAGATTCATCACCTCCCCCCACCACCACCATAAGATGAATCATCCAGCAGACCCAGCGTTCCCCCTCCCCCCTCCACGGTGAACTTCCCTCATTAATTAACCTTGTCTGAAAGGTAGCGGAAGAGCTGGCTGTGAGAACCCATGACACGGCACAGCTGAATAACATCCCTATTTATCTGTTCATTCTCAGTAAATAAATCTAACAGCTTATAAAACATTCAAATAAAACTGGTAATCACCCTACCACCACACAATAAACACAAATAAAAAGAAACAACGATGATAATTTCTCCATATTCCTAATTTACTACCATTGCATGCTTCTTTCTTTTCCCTTAGTTAAAGATCCAAGATGTTAAGCCTTGCCCAGTGCAGGTCATTATATTTCTCTCTATTTTTTCCTGTAACCTCAGCACAAGGACGTTTCTGACTTTCTCCATCATTTTATCTGCCACTCTTTCTTTAGTGTTATTGTCACCATCATAGTAATTGTTACAAAAGTACCACTTATTGACCCTGTGGCAGACACTATACCAAACATTTTATGCTTATTTTAGCTAATCTGCACATTGAAGACTTTCTCTGTCCCAGGCATTATTATACCCATTTTTTAGGTGATGAAACTGAGGCTTCAACAGGTTCAATAGCTACTGTGGAGTCAGGATTAATCCAGGTAATTAGGCTCCAGAGTTTGTCCTCTTCACCCCTCTGCTTCACAACTTAACAGATCTAGTCCAAAGAAGGGCTCAGCATGAGCAGGATCTCAACACATGAAAAATTAAAGTATCTTTTTATCTTTATTGTTGCAAGTATTACATAGGTCCTCCTTTTCCCCCCCTTTAACCTCTTCCAGCCTGCTCCCATCTCCCCTACCCCAGGCCTCACCACCTCATTGTGCGTGTCCATGGGTTATGCATATATGCATACAGGTTGTTCTTTTCCCATCCCCCTCCCCTGCCTTCCCTCTGAGGTTCAACAGTCTGTTCATGCTTCTATGACTATTTTTGACCATCAGTTTATTTGGTTCATTAGAGTCCACATATGAGTGAGATCATGTGATTCTTGTCTTTCTCTGACTGGCTTATTTCACTCAGCATAATATTCTCCAGGTCCATCCATACTGTTGCAAATGGTAAGAGTTCTTCTTCTTTACAGCTGCATAGTATTCCATTGTGTAGATGTACCAGTTTTTTTTATCCACTCATCTGTGGATGGGCACTTAGGCTGTTTCCAAATCTTAGCTATTGTAAATTGAGCTGCTAAGAACATAGGGGTGCATATATCCTTTCTGATGAGTGTTTCAGGTTTCTTAGGATTTTTTCCTAGAAGTGGGATCAGTGGGTCAAATGGGAGTTCCATTTTTTTAATGTTTTCAGGAACTTCAAAATGTTCATCA